GTACGCATGAATAGTTAGAGAAGTATCTTTCCGCAAACCCCTGCAAATACCGGCACATTTTAACTACTACACAACACAAATGAATAGTTAAAGAAGTATTCTTCTGTAAACCCCTGCAAATGCTAGCATTTTTTAGCTGCTATACTGAAATCACACTCATAACCTTTTCTGGCCGATTTACCAAATGCCATTCTCCCTTTAGCTTAGCTATTGCCTTTTCGTTCTCCTGACTGTATCTGTTAAGTCTACTTGTCGTTTGTGCTGCAAGTGGAGAAGTTAAAGGTATAGTCTCTTCCATAATAGATTTAACTAGAGGATCTACTATTCGACTAGCGTTGATGCCTTTTGGGTACGCATGTAACAGGTACGTTAGAAGGATCATTAGTCCTTGATCTGGTAGCTTCTTAGGATCGTTTCTAGAGCTTTATTAGAAAACCTAGTAAATTATATAGCTACGATATGTGTTACTCATATATGAATCTCTAGAATATGGCTACAAGTTAAGATTATCCCAACTTTAAGCTGAGATGTTACGTATGACCATCTCTTGCTAATTCTCGTATGCTATTTTAGGCTATTCTCGCGTTTTTGCTTAGCCTGCGCAGTTAGGTTCTTATACTGCGACCTATATATTTTTTCTAAGATGACGGACTTTGCTATGCTAGCTAATCCCTTGCCTGAAGAAAGACGAGTGGGTGAGCTAGATGAGCTTCTGCTTATATTGATGATATAATAGAACCCTTGCCATTCTTAGTTTGATGGGTTCGACGAGTGAGTTAGCTGAGATTGTTTTAGCACACTGGAGGCTTTTGAATATCTTTTCTGTTAAGGACATTCCAGTTACTGGATTGCGGGTGGGGAGACGAGACCATGGATCTTCTGCATCCTAACTCCGGCAGAAACGGTTGATGAAATCTTTTGCGTCTTCTCGCAGAAACGAATTACTAATCTCAACTACATACTGGATCTCTTCGTATGAGGATTTATAGAGGCGGCTCAGCTGGTCGTACGAGTAAAGCCAATGTGTTACTATTGCGTCATCTGGTAATGTAAATTCTGTCTCCTGTACTGGGCTTGTACTCTAGTTAGACGATAGAACGGATGGAGATACGGAAGGCATTCTTGACTGAGTAGCTAAGTGTAAGGACGGGACATTGTTTAGGATAGGTTCTGGTCCTCTGTCTTCCGAAGTCTCGAGATGTAAGGTTTCAGTTGCACTTAAACGATTTCTTGATCCTTCTGTGGCTGTAGATTCTTCTAGTGTTATGTATTGGGATACATGTTCTACGCTGTTGCTCCAATGCGGCGCCTTTCCGTTAATAAAAGACGCTCGAATAATTTCGTTACGGACAGTACCATGTTGAGTTGCATCAGGTGTTCTAGCAGCTGTGAGATGTGAATTAAAAATTCTAGGATGGAATTGGACTCCTTGAGTATTGGATAGAGAAGTTTCCATTGCTTCGTTCGAGTACTCACGAAAGGAATTCTCAAATACTAGCTTATGAGGGGAAAGCTTAGCTTCAATGTAATTAAGACGATTGCCCTGTATAGTTGCGAGCAAGGTTAAGAACGCCTTGCCTAGTTGGATGAACTGAGAGTGTCAGGTGGGCCTGTCTGGACCATAATAACGCACATCTTCTCCTGTCTCTTCCATCCTAGTCCAGCCATAGCTTAGTAGCGCTTCATTTCCGTCAGGACTCTACTACCTATCAGAGATGATACCTCGAAACGACAAGGGTACATGCCAGGATAAGAGAGCGCATAATATGTGAAAGGATAGAGCTTATCACTACGTGCAATATAGGAAGGAGTACTATGTTTACGAAAAGGAATATAGGAGACTGTGCAGCACATCTGGAGAGGTAGGAGGGAAAGACACTAAGTTTATTACCGCCCTAATATTGCTGAGATCCGCAATTTTTAACGCACGTTTAATTAACGTCATTTTATGAATAGCTAATTTCTATCCCTATATGCTAAGAACCAATCGGAGCGCAAGGGTTATAGAGAAGTTGTCGCACGCGTAGATGCGGAGTTATGTGGCAACAATAGTTGTGCGTGTTTTGAGTAACTTTTTTGACCTTCCTTTTATATAATCGTTGCGGTGGTTTGTTATATAATTAGCTATAGTTGTTGCTATGGCTCGGTTATATTGCTGCCTTCCCCTTCTTGCATATACTGCGATGGTTCGCTATAGCTATGAAGTTCTGCAATAGCCGCAGACGCCTACTTGTAGCGGCTGCGATAGAAGTCTGCGATCCTTTCGATCCGATTGGTCACTCTCCAGACGTAGAGACTGATATTAATTAATATGCGACCACCTATATAAGTACTTAATTCAAGCTGACTTATAAAATACATGCCACCTAACTTTTAAAGACTTGAAACTCGCGGAACCGCTATCTAAGCAACATGCTAATTATGTGGAGACCTTCTAAACCTATTTGAATGTTCATTAGTGAACACGAATATATCTATTTTAAAGATAGGAATCGTTATTGCGAATGCAGAGTCTTTAATGACAAGGGACGATTTAGCGATTAAATACCTAAACATAACGAGCGCGAGATATACGACGTTGAGGGCACCTTAGAGGTTTAAAGGCAACTCTTATTTAAGCTGGCCGCACTTGAAAATTAGGTAATTGGAGAATCTGAAGACAGTGTACACCGAAAGCGTTTTGAGGCTCTTAGAGTAGACACGGTCCAAGCTATACAAAAGACTTGGAATCAAAGTAGTCGGTCTACTGCCTATCGAAAATCTTTCTATTTGATGCTTTGACGCAGGATTCATTTCAGTTGCGATATATATAAACGGAAGTAGCGTTAGGTGTGATAATTTGTACATAATTACTAAATCCTTAACCTCTCATTGTTTCTCTAGTTATACGTGATGTTGTTAGTTTATGCCAGTGAAGCTCAAGCTGGATAAAATAATTCGACTCGCTATGTGCGCACCCTCTCCTACTATCGTTGATGCGCTAGCTTTGTTGTACTATTTGGTAAGATGATTTCTCTTGTGTAGGTTGTATATAGCTACAGTATTGAAGGCCTAGAAACTCAAATCGTCTTTTATATGTAATTTATACCATAGTTAGCCTAACTAGCAGTAAAAGATCAAAGTCTAGTCGTGATAAAGAGAATTAGCGTCGCAAGCAGAAGAACAATCAACTCTGTTGCTTGTCCCATTGGCCAAAAATCGGTACGAGGCCAAAGTGACTCAGGCTTGTATCTTGTTACGATACAAAGATGCCAAGTCACAGTGCCAATAATATCGGGAAAAAGGAAACGATCATGATGAGCAGAAGCTTGTACATGAACACCCCCATTAGGTTGTCTTTCCAGTTGGATGTGGCAGAGAAAGAGACGGTTGGATCATTGGGCGCGGAGAGATTCCGAGTCATATTGGTTCTGTTATCCCACAAGGGTCTTGGCATGCGGATAGACGGGCTGGTTGGAAAAAGGATAGCTTTTGAACTCGCCACAGCCATGGTGCTTGTCACGTTCATAATAGAGATTGCCGTTGTCTTCTTGCAGGTTTCTCCAGCAATGGTCGTTGTAATACCAATCTCTTGTCGCTCAGACAATGCATTTGACAGCTTGACAAGTACTATAAGGTACAGATATCTCATTGCGGAAGGTGGCATATTCATCTATGATGCTGGGACTGCTCTCCTAATATAATTGACTCACTAAACCGGAAAATTTAGATGACCATCCAAATTCATACGCAATGCATCTTTTGGCGCCAGGATAAAGTTGTTGGCCAATAGGTATTTCACGCACTCCTCGCATGTACAAATAGGATCACATCCAGGCAGCATAGAAGAAATAGTACACGGATAACCTTCCTGGAGAATCTTACTATGGATTCTGTCGTTTCTAAAGTGCACGTCGAGCTCGCCAAGCTTGCAAATGATTATGCAAATTCCGAGAAGGAAAACGTTACCCTTAGTCTCATCTCAGACTTCCGGCGAGCCCTATTCTCAATTCTAGACGAAAAAATTCGTATCAGGGACCTTGAACAGTCCAGTGAGCTAAAAGAAGAAATGACCGAACTGTTTAAAGGGGAAAAATGTCCAGCGAAGCCCGCGTGGCCATACCTTAATCAGTTGGATAAGTACGATAGATGCTCCGCTGAGAGGGGATGTAAGTTTAAGTACGGAGCTGCTCTCTACAAGGCTTCATGCGAGGAACACTATGTGTGCACACAACATAAGTCAAGCTCTTGCCTTGTGAAACACAAGAAGACATCGATTCAAAGCGACCAGTCTGAACACCACGCGACTAGCACAGAGGGAGGAACTGAAAGTCCGCTCCAAGAACAGCGATTGAGTGCGGATCTGGAAGGGAACACGTCCAAGAACGAAAGAGCAGACAAAATAAGTATAGGAGAGAAAATGACAGGTAAAGGAACCTCGAAAGATGGGAGATTGACTGATATTGAAGAAGAGGACGAAGAGGAAGAAGAGGACGAAGAGGAAGAAGAGGACGAAGAGGAAGAAGAGGACGAAGAGGA